GTTCTAGGCTAGCAGTCCAACCACTTATGTGCCAACATGGCACCACCTTACACCAGCTAACATTTACCGCAGATCACATACCAGATGTCACTCTACAAGGACACATTCACCCCGTCCTAACATAAGTACTCTCACTGGCTCCACTTAGGTGAGGTGGCTTCTCCGACAGTACCCATCCCTCTGGTGGCACTAACCCTAAACTCACCATCTTCCAGTCACTTCTGACTCCCAGTGACCTAGCTCCCAACAGGAACCAACAAATCAAATCAATAAAAGTAGGGATCATCAGAGTGATAAGGAAAAAGAAAGGGAATGGTTGGTGGCCATGAGTGCACTTGACAGACACAGTTAAGGTCAGAGTTGTATGCCTAAGAAATGCTGAAATGGCAAATGCTCTACTGTAAGTATATTGAACAGAAATGAGTTGGGAAAGTGTTTTTCAAGCTTTCTACAATGAATGGCAACTGAAATTCAGACAACTAGCCCTTTTTCTTTTGTTCCCCTTTAGCAGGCTGACCGTGTACTAGGATTGTGTGGCCACGCACGCAGCCAAGTTACCCAGGCGTTTCTTTCTCCACATCCTAATGCCACTAACCCCTTTATCTATGATAAGCTGAGGTATTTGGTAGAACAAGGTGCTTCTGAAATGTGGCAATTTTGCCAAGTTTTTAAACTAACTTCGCCAATTTTTATAAGTAAAAGACCCTGGCTACCTCAATTTTCTGACAAATAACAGTTTACCCTTACCAGTTCTGTGAGTTCAAATGACGCTATATTGGAATTTATTAAAAGTTGATGGTTTAAGCATGCTTCATTTGAGCCTGAGCACTCGATGTCAAGTCAATCAATGAAGTTTTGAAGACAACGAAACCTCCAGGGAAGTACCACGGCTGTGATCATCTCCACGTCTTGTCTGCGGCTACGCTTCCAAAGTCACAACACCGTTTCCACGATCAGTTCCCCAGACAGGGCCCCACAAAGGAGGCCTCCTGGGATCCATCTGTCTGTCTTCTCACCGACAGCCACGAAGCAATCACCTTTACAAATACATCTGCAGTGTTGTCGCTATTGCTAAAACCCCACTTATAGTGTGGGTTCCAAACAATAGAGAGGGACCTGTCTCTTAAATCAAGTTTTTTCAGTTATATTATACCAAGGGCTTCAAAAAGCACATGGAAATTTCTACTAGTTCAGTATTCCATTTTGGAGAGCCCCTCTAAAAGGAATTCTATAACTTTCTAACACAGACCTTAATCAATCCTTTATGTCCTTGTTAGATGGAATGGGTATGTGTATACACACACATGCGAGAGGGCTTCGAGTTCATGGGGAAATTCCATTATCTTCCAATTCCATTTCTGAAGCAGCCTCAGAATACTTCAAGGAGTATTTACACGGCTGCCCAATTTTAAGGAACCTGAGATTTATGAACAAGGTCCCTAAAAGTAGTGTTAATATTTCAGTAATCTTATTTCTTATTTACTGTATAATCATCCTAGAGTCCTGATGGTATCCTGGGTTAGGCGCTGAGTTACTAACCACAAGGTTAGGCGTAAGTTCAAAACCACCAGTCACTCAGTGGAAGACAGATGAAGCTTTCTAGTGACATACAAAGTCTGTCTCCCTCACTCAAGCCATTCTACTTTGTCCTATAGGTCTTTCTGAGTCAGGATCAACAGGAAGGCAGTGAACTTTTAAAAAAATATCATAATCCATACCACAAAGAAAAATGATGGAAATGTGACCAAAAGTGTTACTTTAAAAGTAGAAAATGGGGGGGGAGGAAGCTGATACCAAGGGCTCAAACAGAAAGAAAATATTTTTTAAATGATGAAGGCAACATATGTACAAAGATGCTTGATACAATTGATGTTTGGTTTAAGAGCTGTAAGAGCCCCCAATAAAATGATTTACAATAAAAAAGAAAATGATTTAAAAGTAGAAAATTATGTGCTGAATCTTCCTCCATTATTCTAACATGACCAGGTAAGCTTGTGAACTTGTCAACTCAACCATTAAAATCGTAACCATGGTTCACTACTACAGAGTTGCTGGCCCTTGTCACCTGGACAACATATAATACAAAATCATCAAAACACCTGGCCCATCACAGGAGCGATCACGCAGGCACCCTGCTGTTATTTTAAGAGCAGCTGTTTCCTTTAGAGATTGGAGAAACGACCTGAGATGGGTACGCCTAGGTTCGCACACTTTCACAGAAAAGCAGTCAATTTAATATGGATGCAAATACAGCCTGTAGCGCCCTTTGACTAGCCAGTGTAAAAGATTCTTAATTTAAAAGCTGCATGCATCTATGTGTCTGAAAGGGCACTTCGGCGGAATAAAATGCTGCCACACATTCCCCTATTCCGTGTCACTGCCACAGCCCAACCTTCTGAGTACATAACCCACGTGGCTTCCACCTGGCCCGCAGCCTCCCGTCCGCTCCCAGTGGAGGCCCAGAGGCGACCCGGGGGCGTGACCAACACCTTCACGTGACTAGCGAACCGCCGCCATCTTGTAGGGCCGGGGTGGGCAGGGGAGGGGCCCGGGGCCGCCGTTCGTCGCCCTGGGCCCGGTCTCGCATTGTGACTAAGGGCCCGTAAGAGGGCTTCATCGCTTCCACCAGAGGGCCACGAGCCTCGGGCTCGTTCCTGCAGACTCGGAGGGGCACCCTCCCTTCCCCAGGCACTGGGCACCGGCTGGCGCGAGCTGCAAGCGAACCAGGATGGAAATCCCTCCACGCTCATTAGCAGCCTCTGGGGTGACAGCCTGGGAGCGACCGGATACGCTGAGAAGTCCTCTAGGCTAGGCAGCCGCAGCTCGGGCTGTGAATCCACTCTAATGAGCAGAAAACGAGGTGGTACGGCACCCCGAAACCACGCCCCAAACCCTCCGGGGCCTGGGACTAGCCTCCTCTTCACCTGTGGTCCAGGAGCCCCGAGGTTTCGCTCCCCAGGTCACGTGCCAGCCGCAGCCTGGGCACGTAGGGCTCGGTAATCAGCAGCTGGGCTGTCCACCCTCCCTGCACCCACGGTGGCCAAGAAGACCACGCACTGCGGTCCCGAGCAAAATCTCCTTACACGTGGTGGCCGCAATCTTCCACCTCGGTCCTTGCTGCCTTCCAACAGGACAAGCAGTATTTTCAAAAGGAGAAGCGAGGCTGCCGGCAGTTCATTACTATCAGAATTCGGAGGGCAGCCAGGCTGCCTAAATCAGACAGCAGACTGTTTACTGTGGGGTACTGCCACTGGACCCACAATCTAAGGTCATCTTCACAATACGCCATTCCATTCGGCAAAACTAGCAAAAGAAAGACCTTCAGGCAGTGCTCTGGCGGCGGTCTAAACAGGAGGGTGTGCGGCACCCTGTCAGCACAGGTGAAGCGCTGGGCTGCTAACTCAACAGCTGCTCCGCAGGGGGCAGAGGCTGCCAGCCTACCAGGGCTTTAGAGGAAACCTCACGGGGCTCTACCGTCTAGGGTTGCTATGAGTAGGAATCCATTGGAGGGCACTGGGACCGGGGGGAGGGGAGTGGCATATAAACTGGTACATTCTGACAACTCTTTGGAATTATTTTTCCAAGGAGGGTGGCGGACGCCAGTACCAATGCTTCCTATGGTGGTAGTAAACAGATATGGGAAGACAGTTTAAAAATAAAACCCAGGAAAAGCTGGTGGAGGATATGGCTGGCAGTAGGCATGGCCACCCCTGAGTTGGATAAGCTGTTAAGTCCTAGTACATGCCTAATCATTTCTTGGAAGCCTTGTCTTTCAAAAGAGGGACTCAACCTAGATTATCTCTAAATCCCCCAGAAATTTTTGATCGACACAGCCATTAGGATACCTAACACCCAGTTGTAGCTGCCAGGGGGTGTATGACAGCAGATGCCTAGGGTGCGTTCACTTTTAAGCAAGAGGGTCGCCTATTGCTTCCGAAGGATCACATAAATTGAAAAGCATGGCATCCAACTTAATCTTTTAAAAGATTGTGACCCAAGGACAAAAGCTCATTATTATACATGACATTTAACCTTAACTGAAGCCTCCCCCCTCCCCTCCCCATTCAATTGGCTGCCTCCAGGCTTTTAACTAAGGCGCCCAGGTGGTACAGTGGGGACTAAGGAGCTGGGCTGCTAACCGCAAGGTCAGCAGTTGGAACCCACCAGCCCCTCTGCAGAAAAAAAAAACGAGGCTGTCTGCTCCTTAAAGGGTTAGGACCTCGGAAACCCACAGGGGCAAATCTCTGACCTGAGTGGCTGCGGGCCACTGCGTGTTGGAATCAACTCGATAGCACTGAGTTGAGGGAGGGCTGTCCTGTGTTTAAGGCTCTGGTGAACCTTCATCTCTGGTGACAGCCTTAAGTGGCCCCCAGCCCTCTCCTACTGCAGGCCTGGAGAGAAGGCCTATCATATGCCCGATCCCAATCTGTGGGCAGATCCAGGCCCCTTAGGAAGAAGGTGATCCCAGCTTGGGGGTGGGGGGAGGGAAAGAGGACCCGCCCAGCCTGCCCAAGGGGTATCTGTCTAAACATCTTAGAGCCCGCCCATTGGGGTCAATTCACAGGAACCCACCTAGCTTTCTTCTAAGAGCTGAAGGTGTCAGAGAGCAAGATGTCCACAGGGCCCCTTTGGCCTCGAGCAGAGAGGCGGGGCGACCCCTCCCCCCCCCACGATGTCAGCCGGCCTGGAGAGGTGCGGCCCGGCACACTGCGGTTGGCAGCGGCACCTGGTGCTGGAAGGATGCTCCAGGCCACAGAGGTCCCAAGTCCTTTCCTCCAAGGGGTGACACAAGCCCTTGCCCTTGCCCTTGCCCTCGTGGCGACTCCGGCCTGAAGAAGAGTTCTAGAGCATTCTGGTAATGGCGAGTGTCTGTGTGCTGGGTATGGATAGGGGGGGCTGGCGGCGAGGCCCAGCAGAACCTCGGATTGGGGCTGCGCCGAGGGGAGAGCCAGCGAGCCACCTGCGGCGGCAGAGAATCACACCCCGGGGCCGCGCCTTACCTGAGCCCTGGGGGCGCCAAAGGGGCCCGGCTGGGCG